AAGACCTCTCTCTCTCTCTCTCTCTCTCTCTCTCTCTCTCTCTCTCTCTCTCTCTCTCTCTCTCTCTCTCTCTCTCTCTCTCTCTCTCTCTCTACCATATACTGACCTGCGGAACCATGTGCATTGATGCAGGAACGGACGTGCTGAACACGAAGCTGGAGCGATGGCCACGCTGGTGAGTCTCAGTTAAGTCCTCTGGCCGCCATCACCATCTCTCCCTTCCTACAATACTCTCCTCTATCAGCGGCCAGCATTGGAAGACTAGTCCTATCGTCGACTACTACCGTACTGTCGTCGCCTGAAGTATGCCTCCACTCAATCCTCTACTGAATGCCGGACTGAGGCTGGACCCAGCTATATATAGCGCTGGGTCGGCCTCAGCGGCTGAGTCCTGGCGCCCAAACTGAGGTTGGGCCTCGAAAGTTTGGCGCCCAAACTGAGGCTGGGCCTCCAGCACCTACTGGAACGACGCGGACTCAAAATCAGGGTCTGGCGCCAAAACGCGCGCCAGGGCCCAAAACGAGGCCTACAGGGCCTCTAACTGGTACCGGTCCTACTCATGCCTAAAAATCGGCCTACCGACCCTGCGGACCCTACTGAGGGTCGGAACGACACAGACCCTACACTCTACGGACCCCTAGCCTACCTGGGCGGACCCTGCTGGGCCCGTGTGGAACCGAGTATGCCACACCCCCCCCTCCTTGAAAGACCAAGCTTACCTACGAGAGTGAAGCTGTCTGTTTGAGGGAGGGACCGAAGTCCGGGTGGGAGGCTTTGCAGCTTTTGTGGCTAGCCGTTTCTTCTCATAGTCAGCATAGATAAGTGGTGCGGAGGCTTGCAAGGCTGCTCGTGAAATCCATCTCGCGCCGTCACGATCGCACCACCTGAATGTGACCTTGTACTACATTGGCTTGTTGTCGTGCTTACGATGCGTGATGACGTGATCGACTTCCTGGTGACCATCCACGGAAGGAGTGTCCTACAATCTTCGGCCCGGGAAGTCGTCGCTCTTGGCTGGTGTATACGTGGCCAGCTTGGAGGCATGGAAGACCGGGTGGACCGGCAGATGCGGCGGGATGTCGATCACAAAAGAAAAGCCATCAGGCTCATCACCCGCGGCTGATGTGACGGTCCATGGTCCAAACCAGTTTGGAAGTAGCTTGCACGATGCGTCTTGTCCAAGCGCAAACTCCTCCGTGGAGACCCAAACAAGGTCGCCGGCGCGGATAGGGCATGGCACACGACGCCTATTAGCTTGCTGTTGGATACGGACTTGAGCCTTTTGCATGTTGGTGCGGGCTATAGCCAGCAAGTCCCTATACTTTTGAACAGAGGCGGGAGAACAAACCGCGTCGATGTCGGCAGTCTGAGGGAATGGAAGATCAGTGAAGATACGGCCTTTCGGGCCACCATGGTGCAACTCGAATGGAGTCACACCGATCGTCGGATGCAACGAAGTGTTGTAGGCGAACTCGATGCCGGGGAGGCGGTCAACCCAATCCTTCTGATCCGGATGGATGAGCGTGCAAAGCATCATTTGAGCGGTTTGATGTGCGTGCTCCGTTTGCCCGTCCGTTTGTGGATGCCGGACCGAACTTAATTTCATCTCGGTGTCGAACTCCTTCATGAGAGCAGTCCAAAATGCCAACATAAAACGAGTGTTGCGGTCGCTGACGATGTCTTCCGGAACACCATGGTCGCAAATCCATCCGGTGTGCAAGAGTCGCGCAAGCTCGGGAGTCGTGACGTAGTACCTCCCGGGAAGAAATCGTGTGTACTTGCTCAAACGGTCAACAACGGTGAGAATGTCGTTGTGCCCGAAGTGGTCGCGAGGAAACGGGCTGGTGACGTCCATAGCAATGGAGAGGTCGGGTTCCCGTAGGATAGGCAACGAGCGTAACTCGCCGAAAAGGTTGCGATCGTGGGGTTTTCTTCGTCGGCAAACTTCGCAAGAGTCGCAATACCGCGTGCCGTCGGTAATGAGATCGGGCCACCGGAGTCATTGCCGAAGTCTTGCGATGGTACGGTTGACTCCGAAGTGGCCGGCGAGTCGCGAGTCGTGGAACTCGCCAAGGAGGCGAGTCCGTAAGCAACGGCCGTGTGGGACGCATAGTAAGTCCTTGCCTCGTGAATGAAAAAACAAGTAGCCATCGACAACGCCATAATGGTTGGCCGGCGGGAGATCCGAGGATAGTTGCTCGTAAGAGCGTGGCATATTTCGGATCGGACTTGTATGCTCGCACAAAATGTTGATGAGGGCATCATCGAAACTGAACGCGTGGTGAGACAATGCACATCTCATCTTCGCGAGAGAGCATCCACGGCTCGGTTGGAGAGGCCCGAAATGTGTTTCGGTGTGAAGTCGAATTAGTCGATGAAGTACATCCATCGAGTGATCGTGCTGCTCACCGTGTCTTGCGTCTTGTAGTAGGTCAGTGGGTTATTATCCGTAGCCCAAGTGAACCAACAACGCCCGAGAAGGAAGTGTCGCCAACGCTCGAGTACCGTGACGAAAGCAAGCAACTCCTTCCGCGCATCATCAACCGAGTTGATGGGAGGCACCTTTTGGCTGAAACACTCAACCGAATGCCAATCTACTCCGTCGTGTTGTTCCAAAATTGCATTTCGTAGTCGAAAACGTCCGTAGTCACTCTCGTCTGCACGGTGGGATCGTAGATACTCAAGACGGGAGCGAGAAACAATGTCGTCTTCAATTCGTCGGTGAAATGGAAGGGCACCTTTGGAAACTGCAATCTTGACAAGGGTGCGGCGATCCATGCATGTCCGCCAATGAAGCGTTGGTAGTACCCGGCCAATCCCATAAAAGTGGGAACTTTCGAGGTGTTGGTCGGCTCTGGCCAATCTTGGATGGCCTTGATCTTGTCCGCGAGCGGACGGATGCCTTGCGGCGTCACAAAGTGGCCCAAGTACTCGAGCTCTTGTTGTGCGAATTCGCACTTGGCTCGGTTGGCCTTATACTTGGTACGTAGCCTGTCCGAAACAGCTCGTAGATGCGCCATGTGCTCTTCCAAAGTTCGGCTGTACACCAAGATGTCATCAAGGTAGATGAGCACGAACCGGTCCAACATGTCGCGAAACTCCGTTGTCATTATCGCTTGGAAGGTGGTTGTGGCATTCGTGAGGCCGAATGGCATTACGACCCACTCGAAGTGCCCGTACCATGTCTTGAACAAGGTTTTGTAGTGATCTCTTGGATGGATCTCGAGCTTGTGGTAACCGGCCTTGAGGTCCAACTTGGAGAAGTATTTGGCGCCGCCCAAGTGTTCGAGAAGATCGTCGATGCGTGGGAGCGGGCTGGCATTCTTAATGGTTTGAGCGTTAAGCTTACGATAGTCGATGCATAAGCGCAGCTCCTTGTTCTTCTTCCAGACGAAGAGAACAGGTGCACCGTAGGGCGAGCAGCTAGGGCGAATCCAGCCCTTGGCAATGAGGTCATCGAGTTGCGTTCGGAGCACTCCGAGTTCCTCCTCGCTCATGCGGTACATACATCCGCGGGGAGGCTTCGAAGATGTCGCCATAGGAGTCAAGAAGCTCTACTATATGTGGATCCGGTGGCTGTTCCGCCGCTGGCTCATCGGGAGGGAGGAGGACGTGCAAGAAGCAAATGCCCATTTCTTCCACGTTGTTTCGTGCGATGGAGTTGTGAATGCCTGCCGCGGAGACCACATGACAGTCAATCGAAGGGTGAGGTGGGGGGACCGTACATGGGACAAGTAACCCGTTCCGATCACGAACGTGAACGGTGCGGCGGTAGAAGTTCACCGAGTGGTCCTCGCTGCGCAGCCACGACATGCCCAAAAATCATGTCGAACTTTGTGTCCAAGATGTCAAAGGACACGGCCTCGCGTGCATGTGGGGCGAAGTACAGCGGGCGGAGTCAACGCACCGGTCAATGGACTTGTGCGTACGACCGTCGGCCAACGTGACTTGCGTGGGCTGCGACTTCCTTCGAACACGCGGCCCAAGGCTGGCGCGCACGCCATGAAGTCTTGCCTGATGTAGTTGCGAGTAGCTCCACAATCAATCAAGGCGCTGCAGGTCGCCTTCGCAATCTGAATGCGGACGTAGAGTAACGGTGCGACGATGTTGTCATACCATTCCACGGCGTACTCGCGGTCGACAACCGCTACTCCGTCTTCCATCAACAGAGTTGGTACTGCAGCGTACAAGTAGTTGAGTAGTTCCACCATTAGGGCGTTGCAATGCGGCTTCGGCAAGGAACCACATTGGGGAAAAGGAATCCATTGGAAGTCCTCCAGCGTCAATGGGTCGAGGTCCTCGAGTCTAGAACATACCGACGAGTCCCTGAGTAGTGTCGGCGAGGATGTTGTGGTTCACTTGGCGATCGTGATGAAGTCGCGCACGCATGACTCTTGCACGTGAAAAAGGTTATTCCAACGGAGGGACCAGCTGGACAGCATAATCTTCGTAACTCTCCTGAAGACTTGCGACATACGCATGTTCCCCGGACGTGGAGGAGGTTGCTAGCAAGGTAACCATGTCCGGCGGAGTACCGCAAAGCTCTGTTTCCCGAGCTTTGTCGTGGGCGAGTGTCTTCTTTGCCTTTGTTGGGGCACTGCAACGTTGTGCGCTTGGGACTGTTGCACCAGTAGCAACAATTCCACTTTCGGCAAAGCTTGTATTGCTCCTCCGCGAGGCTGGATTTCTTCCATGGCGCATTCGGATGTTCGACTTTCGTTGTTGACGCGGATTTCGCCTTCTTCTTCTTGTTGCGTCGTGGCGGAAGGGCGTTGACTTCGTCTCCTTCACTAGACCCATGAGTCAGCGCCTGGTCATCATCTTGTCCATTGAATTCGACAGCAGCGAGTGCCTGCATCCGTAGGCACTTGCCCTTCTCCACAAAATTCGGTTGGGTTCGCCGCTCGTTGGCGGCCCACCGATTGGATTGGATTACTTCGCGGGCCTTGTCAATCTGGTCAAAGTCCGTGTACAAGCTGCGCTCACCAAGGATCGTGCCAAGGGCCGTCCTCAATGCGCCAACCAACCGCTAGAAGAATTCACGACGAAGATGCACGAATGGAATATCCAGATTCGGGATAGTCACAATTTTATGCCACTCGGTTATGGCTGGCTGCCTTGGTGCATGGTGAAGATCCGGTCCACGCCTTTGCCTTGAGCGTCGTCGACGATGAAGCACTTTCGCCATTTCTCTGTCATAGCCTCCCAAGTGAACTTGGTGTAGACTTTTGTGACCTCGACGTCTTCGGTTTGTGCCAGGTGGTTGAGCCACACTAGGCTGGCACCGGTGCTGCAAAGGTAAAGGGCTGAGATCTTTGACTTTGGCGCGACTAAGTGAATGGAGAGCTCGTTGGTGAAGCCCTGCCACCAAGTTATGGGGTCCGCCTTGTGGTAGTCATCAAACTTCTCGATGCTGAACTTCAGCTGGGCGGCGTGCTGTTGCAGGTCCCGGTTGGTTGTTGCTGCAGCTGGCGCAGGTCAGCTTGTACCGCGGCCATTTGTTGACTAATGGTCGTCGACCGTTGAACGTGGTTCAGATTGCCAATGAGTGCTACCAGGTGATCCGTTCGTTCCTCTAGTTCGCGGATTGATGGATCAATGCTTGAGGATGCCAAGTGCTTGTGCGGAACGTCCTCCTTCTCCAGTTCCTCAAGGCGGGCATGGAGACTCATAAGAGTCTCATCGTAATCGGAAATGATATGTTCCTACCGAGCCAGCTCCACTTGTTGCCAGTTGCAAGTGAGGATGACTTGGTGCACGATGTTGGCGAGGCCTGACTTGGTCCGTTCCTCCGCCGTCGGTTCCCTATGCGTCTCTGTCAAATCAAAATTCCATTCTTGGAGTGTGGCCCTATGAGCGGCTTCCTGCTGCATGAGGACGGATGCCGCATCTCGTCGAGCTTGATTATGGTTGGCAGCTGCTTCAGCGTGCTGCCGGCGCCGTTGCTCCGCATCATGTGCAATGGCGTTGAGGCGTGCGGCTTCTGCTGCCGCCTCACATCCCTGTTCCTCTTGTACTTGCTGTATGTAGGAGGACAGGCGGGCCATAAAGGCCGTCATTGTCTCACCCTGTTGGCGGACTGGCATAGCGTCAACGGCTCCCGCAGGTGTCACAGTGGGAACCACCGGCTGGACCTGTGGGACCAGGGGGTTCGCGCTGCACAGCTCGCGTGGACTGCCGGATGCGGCATTGTCCATCGTAGGGTTGCCGTTTGCCTCCGTTGTAGAGGGGAGGGGCAGGGGTAATCGGTGCTCTGCTGCAGCTGCCCGCCCTTCTCGTTCTGCGATGGTCGGAGCATAAGCGGTGGTTAGCTGTACTGTGTCGGCTGATGTGATACTGGCTGACGTGGCCCTAAGGTGATGGAACTTGTTGACGTGACACTTGCTGACGTGGCAGTTGCTGACGTGGCACTCACTGACATGGCAATTGCTGATGTGGCACTTGCTGGCATGGCACTTGCCTTAGGACAAAGGGGGGTGGGACGAAAACATGCCGACAGGCAAACAACCGGACTGCAATTTCAAATCCCGAGTACTAATCAACAGAAAAAACAAAACAAAAAAAAATCTCCCTTTTTTTTTTTGTCGATTTGAGAATTAGGGAGGCATCTACCAGATAACGAGCAGTAAAAAGGGTAAAATTCGGACTTTGAAAAATGTTTGTTAATCTGAAAAAAACGAATCTCACTCGCTAACGGAATTGGAAAAAGAATCGCAACATTTTGAGTATAAATTCGTGGAAATTTTCAGAAAACAATTTCTCGAAATTATTCCGATTCTCAAAAAACGGAATTCGTAAGAAGAATTTCACATTGAAAATCGCAGAATAATTTACTTTGATTTCCAAGGGTACCGACCAAGAAAAATGACGAAATAACTTAATGATAAAAATCACGATTTTCAAAAAACGAAATCTGCCATGACCTAATTCCTAAACACTGACCCTAAGTCCGATTAGACACAGTTCCCATGGAATTCGCAGAATGCCCGGAATTTTCAAAATTACCGAAATTCCTGGAATTCCCGGATATCGCGGAATGCCGAAACTTTAGGAATTCCGAGAGTATCGGATTTGCAAGTGCCGAAAGTTCGAACTTGCGACAGGGAAAAAAAAAAAAAAAACGAAAAAGAATTTCAAAAACTTTAATCCGTCAATTGGTTGTTAATCTTGATGAGGGTTAATTAGCGCTAATCAAGGTGACAATTTTAGTAGAACATAATTTTTTTTTTCCAGAAATTTTACGAATGCCTACTTTATTGATCAGTCTCAATCAATCAGTCAATCAATCAATAAATCAATCGATCAATCAATCAGTCAATCAATCAATAAATCAATCAATCAGTCAATCAATCAATCAATCAATCAAGTGGGTTCTTGATCGGGCAGATCCTCTTTCGAGAGATCTGCTCCAATACCAAACTGGCGCATACCAAGATGGTACAGACCAGAACCAAGAACCGACCTCTCACGGATAGAGCAAGATAGCAGCGGAAGACTGGAATACTAATGATCAGACCCAATCAATGTCGAAATGCAGACTGGACATGTATCATCACCATCACATGGTGTGAATGGCCTGGCGCCGCACACAAGGACGAAGGTGCCAGGCCTAGTCATACACAGATGAGGAGGGGGAAGAGACGAAGAAAAGGTGAGGAGATGAGCATGCCGTCAACCCAAATGTCGCTGATATCAATCCGAAGTAGTCCCTCCCAACGTCTCTGTCCAATGCCGAGTCCGAATCCCACGTGTCGTAAATTTCTCTCTCTCTCTCTCTCTCTCTCTCTCTCTCTCTCTCTCTCTCTCTCTCTCTCTCTCTCTCTCTCTCTCTCTCTCTGGGTMCCTCGTGTATTTTTGTGCCCGCCTCTGCACCCGTCTTTGTGCCTGCCTCCGCACTTTCTTCGTGCCTGTCTCTGTGTCTGTCTCCGTGTGTACCTCCGTGTCTGTCACCGTGCCTGCGTCAGTGTTTATTACCCCACATGCTGCACTAACCCTATGTGACCTCCTTTGTGCGGCCACGGACACAGTTACACTTGGTTGTGGAAAGCATTGACTTTGTCGACATCACTACAACCATATTATTTTTTGGGCCCGCTGTCTGCAGAGATGCCACCTGTATCCGGATTGTGAACATCCTCTACATCCAGATGCAGTATGCCCCATCCGTGCCTGCGGGCGCTATAGCGAATGTGCACTAAAGCCGCCAGTAACTTGCCCAGCCTTTTTTCTCACCTCTGAGCATGCCGAGAGATGGCCCTTGGAGGTTTGGCACAGGTTCGGGAATCCAAAAGAGAAGATAAGGCAAAAATATGAAAAGAAAAAAAGGTGGTCATGGTGCATAGGAAAGACGGCTGATTCCCGACTCACGGCTGTAGCAAAAGAAAAAAAGAAAAAAAAGGTCTTGGCAGGGGAAAAAAAAAAGAAACAATAGTCATTGCCCTATTTCCATGTTCTAGCGGAAAAATCATTTCATTTTGGTGAGTACTACAGTGAGGCCCCCTGACAGATCTGCCAAAAGTGACGGCCGCTGCCAGCCTATACTGACAAACTCATATCATGGGCCTCACTGCACAGACGACAACATGCTGAAAACAAAAAAAAGGTGGTGGTGTATCTTTCCCTGTTCAAGGGGAAGATGCATTCTCATTTTCCACAATCGGTGAGTACTGCATAGAGGTCCCCTGTCAGGTGCACCGGAAGTGACGGTTGCTGCCAACTGTAAAGTCACTTCAGAACTTGGGG